TTACTTAAAAGGTATTGATCAATTGCTCTGTTACAGTCAGAGTTCCTGTATAATGAAAACTCTTCCTGAGTTACAAGTAATCAATAATTTTCACAACCAATGTATTGGTATATTATATATAAAAATATTACATGTATTTGTGTGTGTTGTATGTGTGTGTGTCTGTGTGTTTGTGTATGCGTGTATGAGTGTGTGTATTGGACTTTATACACATGTGGAGCGCACATCACAATGTTAGTTTCTAGAAACCCCATGAGTGCAGCAAATTTGGCACCAGATTCTCACATTTTCCAAAGGGCATGGCGTCCTTTTAATTCATGAGGTGGTTGCTGAGTGTCTCGAAATAGATAGACATATCCCCGTATGTCAATGAAGTAATTTACTCCAAGTCAGCTGAATTGAGCCATGTGCAGTTACTCAAGATCAGCTGATTTTCGCACGTGCATGGGCTCCCAGAAAGACAGACACCTTTTCTGAACGAAGTACTGTCGACAAGCCTTATGGTTCTTAAGAAACAGTCAATGTTATTGCTTGTAGGAACACTAGATCTATATGTTGCGCTGTTTTTTGACACTTGCTCAAGCACAAAGAAGACGTGTTTAATCCTCATTTAATAAGCCACTTGATTGCTGTCAGCTTTCCAGCCAGGCTAGGATACTTAGGAGTGGTATCCCGAGTGTGTGTGTGTGTGTCTGTGTGTGTGTGTGTGTGTGTGTGTGTGTGTGTGTGAGAGAGAGAGTATGTGCGTGTGAGTATGTGCGTGTACGTGTGTGTTGTTGCTGTTTTTGTTATTGTTGTTGTTTTGTTCTTGTTTTTGTTGGGTTTTATTTGGAGTTGTTTTTCTTTTGGAGAGGGGGTGGCTTATCTTCATTAATTGATTGGGTCACTAACACATAAATAACTTTAAAATGTTGGTCTCTTTTTGCAAGGAGAGTGGAGAGTCGATCATTCTAATTATATGAAGAAAGACAACAGCTTAGGGTTCGAGATAGGTGAGCATGTAGGGCTCATCCAATGACGGGTATTCCTAAACTGCTCACTGTCATGACAGTTTCGCGTCACACGCGGATGGTGTGAGTTTGTTTCCCATGCCAGGGGGGCTTTCGAGTTGGCTTGCTGTGTCCCTCGCTGCAAGGGAGGCCCTGATATGTGGGGTCCAACAGCCTGTCTCCTTTAATGATCTAAATTATGCCGATCGGGGCGTAAAACGTCTACAATTACAAAGTTTCCCCTTGCAGACACCGACGAGTCGTGTTGACTTCATTGTTGTCGAATATCGGTAAAACATTGCGTGAACTACAGCTGAAAAAAGAATCAGTTTCAGTTTGGTTAGAGTGTTACGGCGCTCGCAACTGCATAAGGTCGTACGAGAGCTTAGGACTCAAAGTCGGTTGTTTTCAACGTATGTTGCCACTATTCCTTTAAAGCTTAAATATGTTGGTTGTAAGTACCGTCTCTTTTGTGGAACATGCGAAACTCGACTTACGGCCAACTGGAACCAAACGACACGACGAGGTTTCGATCAGTTCGATGCCCATGTATTCATGTTCAATTGCATTCATTGTGTATGTCATTACTTCAGCAAACTGTTATTTCTGAACTATGATTTATCAACTCTGGTCTTGCGATGCAAAGAGCGAGCGTGGCTCAGAAAACATTAAACTTGCACAACTTCAAAACAATTAGTCCAATGTTATACGTTAGACTTTGCTACTACTTGATGTAGGTTTCTAATGAAAAAACATATCGGTACCAGGCTTTTCATATTTACATATATTATGTACATACATTAGATTTTTGTTGGGTAATGGTAACATTGTAGCTAATTATTACATGACCGTTCGATTCATAAAATGGTGAATCAGCACAAAGTAAACTCAACTTCTCTCAGCGTGGCATCACAAATTTGCCCAAACCTCCCTGAGGGTACCATCAGATGGTACCGTTGTCTATTGTTTATCTAACCTTGCAAGTACCAAGGCCTTGTTTACTTTGGGGAGGTAAATCCTCACGTGCGATCATTTACTCTACTCAGCAAAGCGTGTTCACTCAGAGGGAAAGGTTACTGATCATAAATGACTTGCAAAGAGCCCAGGAAGTCGTTCAGAGGGGTCATTAATCTTTTTCTGGATCGACGGAAAATCTACGTATACTTTATTCGTGTCTTGGATTGATTTAGAAGTTTATAACTTTGCATTGGATGGTGCTTCTGGCTGGCCCTACTCTTTTTTTTTAAAAACCTTCCGTTGTTTATGTCTGTCTGTCTGTCAATAAGTGGCCGCTATAAGCTTATTGTGGCCGTGTTTTTCTTTATTCACACCATAGACTTGTATTGTAATATCCTAGATTATGCACTTTGACGTAACTTCGATTCACTATGGAACGCGCCATTTCCCACAATTTCGAGCCAAATGAAGGGCAACGGGAAAGGTGCTGTACACACTCGTCAACTATTTATATTACTTTGCCTTTCGTTTTGGTGCCCATTATGTACACACTTCGCAGCAAAGTTTTTATACAGAGAAAAGAGCATTTAAAGTCTATGCCTCTGAAAACGTGTTATATATTTTGAAAATGGTTTACCAGATTAACAAATGATTGGGTAGATTGTAATCGAACTCGTACATGGCGAGAAGGTAGGTACCTTGGGTGAGCTACAGGCCTTAACAAGTTCGAAAGCGAATCTCCAAACAACACTCGAAAAGCCGATTTGGTCAAGTAATAAATTTATACTTTAAGATGGGCTTAAGTTATTTTTTACAACAATGTTTCTCGTCGGTTTTCTGGTTGAGGTTGATCAGTTATCATCATAACAACACCAATGACTGTGTGGCCCCTGTGTGGGTTTTTTAGCTTGTCTGTCTACCTGCTGTGTGTCTGTCTGTTTGTCCTGCTGTGTATCTGTATATCTGTATGTCCTTCTCTTTATCTATCTATCTATTTAATCTATCTATCTATCCATCTATCTATTCCTCTCTCTCTCTCT